ATTCCTCAGACCAGCCCACTTTAGATCACGACCTATTATAACCTTACATGTTAAGTCTACAATAGCGCACTGTTCTCTAAAGCCTTGTAATTCAGTGTATTTTTCTAAAATATTTCAAATTCAGTGCAAGTAAGTAGGGATGCACCGAAATGAAAATTTGTGGCCGAAGCCGAAGCCGAATAATATTAAGCACTTGGCCAAATACCGAGTACCGAATACCGAATATCGTTGTTTAGTTTTTCATTAGTTTTTGCAGATGAACCCCCTCCAGATTAGTGTTGTCACGGTACCAAAATTAGGACCCACTGTATGATACCAATGAAAATATTATGGTTCTGAGTAGTATCATAATACCACAGCGAAAATGAGACAGATGTGCCTTTTGTCATTTATAAAAAGATAAATCACTTTTCTATAATACATCAATGATATTTCAATGGAATAAATTACTTATTGACTTATTCATACTTCAAAAACAGCATCAATAAGTGATTAACATAGGGGGGATCAAAATAAAATAAATAAATAAATAAATAAAATAAAAATCAACCAGCCACCCTCCTCCCCTGACAAGTAAAGAATAGTCCCTTCATAAGTAACGAACAGTCCCTAAAGTGTGGTGAGGTTTGTGGGCCCTGAACGGCTTGTTTCTCCTCTGACACATCACGTACGGTCTGTGTTCGGCTGGCTCGGCTGTTCAGGTACTTCTGGGCAGTCCACACGCCAAGAAGAGGATATTATTGGAGCCGACTTCTCCGTCGCCCGGTAAGCCGATGGCCGCCGTAATTGACAGGAATGCACAGCGTGCTGAATGATTTAAGCCTATTTTGCTCGCTCAAAACTATTTTTAGTCGCAAATGCGAGTCCGGTGACGGGCGGATCGCCACACTGCCGACATATTACTCCTCCCATCAAGGCACGCTGTTTGATTGCGTTATCAAAACACGCAGCTATTATTCGGCCTTGTTTTTAACTTATTCCACCGAATACCGAATGTGTGTTGCAATATTCGGCCGAATATATTCGGTTACCGAATATTCGGTGCATCCCTACAAGTAAGGGTTGCTTCACTCTCAGTATGTTTACATGGACAGTTTAATTCCACTTTCATTCGGAATGAAAGGCCATTCCGATTAAAAGTGGTCATGTAAATGGTCATTCCGATTGAAAAAGGGTAATTCCGATTGAAAATTAAATCCGATTAAAGGGGGTGGTTTATTCCGTTTGTCATTCCGAATGAAAGAATTTTGTGTGCATGTAAACGCTCATTCCTCTTCAAGTTCATTCCGGTCTTTCTGCGCATGCTCGTTTCCTTGCCCTTATTTATTTATTTGGATCCCCATTAGTTACTACCTAGGTAGCAACTACTCTTCCTGGGGTCCTTCTGGCGCGATGACGTATATAGCTCGCATAGCAACGGGCTGAGATAGAGCAGTCGGACTTGTTGCACTCACCGGTTTCCATACGCCAAAGCACGGTCTTCTATCTCCCTTCTTCGACCTTCTACCTCTCTTCTCCTCCTCAAGAGACGAAGCATTAGCAGAACAAGGTTTTTGTCGTACTGTTGCTTCAAGAATATAAGCAAAACAAGCCCGAAAAAGGCACTAAGAATGGCGTCGTCATGCATCTTGTTATCCGGAGTTAGGACTACAGTGTTTTCTTCCGGTAAACGTAAACACGTAACATCCGCCCCGCCCCTATCCAGTCAGAAACCTTCCCTGCTCCAAACATTGCGCAGACCCGAATAAAGGCGATTAAACTGATCTCCCGTGTAAACCCTCATTCAGAATGAATATTTCTCATGTAAACTACCTGGAAAAACTTTAATTCCGAATGATTTCATTCAGATTTATTTCATTCTGAATGAGAAGCCATCATGTAACCGCGCCCAATGTAGATTTATTTCAACATGAGTGAACATCTCCAACATTATTCTTTACAACACATCCTTTTCAACAATATCAGAATCTATATCCTTTCAACAATATCAGAATCTATATTCTGTTTGTTGTATACTCACTATACTTTTAGGATCTACAACTAATAAAGACACATGAGACCAGGGAGTGTTGCTCGTAGCTTGTATTGCTTCCAGCTTCAATCAGGACTGTTATTACAGCGATGCAACGTAACACAAGAGGGCGTGACCGCACTTGTCCTTCCTGACTCTCAGACCATATTCCTCCAGCCTTTGTAGTGTTGCATCCAGGTTCTTCAAGTGTGACTGCTCATCGGGTCCTGTGATGAGTAAGTCATCCAAGTAACACTGGACCCCTGGAAGCCCACTCAGACTCTGGTCCATTGTTCTTTGGAAACGTGCTGGAGCAGAGGTTATCCCAAAAGGGAGCCTCGTGTACCTGTATAGATCTTTGTGTGTCACTATGGTCAACAGTTCCTGGGACTCTGGATCTACATGCATCTGTAGATATGCCTGACATAAGTCTATCTTACTAAACTTCTGTCCTCCAGCCAAACCTGAAAAGAGGTCATCAGTGAGGGGTAATGGGTACTGTTCCGCTGTCAAAACAGGGTTCACAGTCACTTTAAAGTCACCACAGATCCTTGGGGCCCCATCCTTTTTCATGACTGGGACGATTGGTGTAGGCCATTCACTGGTGCTTACAGGTTCCAGTACTCCACTCTTCACTAATCTGTCCAACTCTGCCTCTACCTTAGGTGTGATGGCATACGGGACAGGTCTAGCCTTTAGACACCTTGGTGTGCTTCCTGGTTTGACTGTCAGCTTCACTGTTATGTCCTTCATGCTGCCAAGTTCTCTGTCAAAAACTTTGGAGTGCTTCTTTAAGATCTCCTGTAGGGGGCTTATATTTCCATCATTAACGAAGAACACTTCCTGCCAGTTCAGTCTGACCTTTTGCAGCCAACGGCGACCTAGCAGAGCTGGATAGTTTCCTGGAATGATGTACAGTGGAAGAATCTCTTTCTGTTGGTTATGTTCCACTCTTACACCCACTTTTCCTAACACCGGGACAGGTTCACCAGTGTAGGTCCTTAACTTCAACTTTGTCTTTCGAAGAGTGAGGTGCTGCAATTTTGTCCTATACACAGCTTCTGATACCATTGACACACGTGTACCTGTATCCAATTGCATCCGTACTGCATGGCCCTCTAACAGAGGTGTGACCCAGTATCCATCATCATTGTCAGTCACAGCCAAAACATGCACTGTGTCAGACTCGTCGTCACTCTACATCCTGTTCATGCTCCATTTTGTTCACGTTTCTTCTTGTTTTTAGAGAAACCACTTTTCCTTGTCTCGGTGTGCTGTTTGTTTGTCTGGGTCTTTTCACTTTTACATGCATGTTCAATGTGGCCCTTCTTACCACAGTTTCTGCAGTCCAAATCCTTACACCAACAATCTGAGGCTTGATGCCCTATTTTCCCACAGCGGTAGCAGAGCTTGCTAACTATTGCCTTCTTCCTGGACTCAAGGGACAACTTATGCACTTGGGTCGATGCACTTAGCTGCTGTGCTTCCCGGCTGGCCATCTCCATTGATATACTTATCTCTATGGCCTTTTCCAGAGTCAAGTTAGACTCAGTAAGAAGTCGTTTCTGAATAGCTTCATTGCGTAGACCACACACCAGTCTGTCACGTATGGTGTCATTTAGGGATTGTCCAAATTCGCAATGCTCAGACAAGCGTTTCAGTACTGCTACAAATTGTGCAACCGATTCACTCCCTTCCTGGTTCCTCTTATGAAATCTGAACCTCCCTGCGATGATCAGTGGCTTTGGGGAGTAGTGAGTTCCTAAAATTTTCACTATTTCTTCATAAGACTTTTCACCTGGCTTGTGAGGTTCCACTAAACTGCGCAGTAGGTTGAATGTTTTTCCTCCCATAACACTCAAAAAAGTTGGCACAATGACATACCCTTTAATCTTGTTAGCAAGCGCAAAATATTCAAATCTCTCAGTGAATGAACTTCATTGTTCAGTATTTTCCTCAAATGGTCCAATATTTCCAACTGGCGCAGCCATTTTCATGCAATATTCCTTTAAGTCCTCTTTGTCCTCTTGCTTGTTTTCACTGTTTATCAGATATCTTCCTTCATTTACTTTTATTTTATTTCATTTGACTTACTGTCCCTCTTTTCTTTCTTCCGGTCCTGAATGCAATTCTTCCCTCTTTCCGGTCCCGTTTACTCTCCTTTCCACCGTGGAGAATCCTCCCCTGCAGCAGCGCTGTCCTCTGTGTCAGCGTCCTGTTCACCTGCAGGCAGTTAGCAGCGGAGCACAAACGTGACCGTGCACCGTTGTATACACGCGCGAAACTCGTTAAACTCCGACGTTTTCGGCTCTCTACTGAAAAATAACAAACACAGCGTGAGAGCGCATTACCTCGTCGCCAGTTTTGTTGTATACTCACTATACATTTCAATCTACAACTAATAAAACACATGAGACCAGGGAGTGTTGCTCGTAGCTTGTATTGCTTCCAGCTTCAATCAGGGCTGTTATTACAACGATGCAACGTAACACGAGAGGGCATGACCGTATCCCTTAAGGGACAAACTTAGGTGACTAATACACAACACTGTTCAAATAAGCATTCACAGATATCCAAACCTTAAAAATGAAACAAAAGAATAAATAAAAATATTAAATAATACATTTGAAAAAATAAAAAATAAAATAAAAAGTGTTGCATTCTCTAATAACACTATCTCTCAGGGTTTTCCCTGGGTTTTTTTGAGACCAATGTGGCAAAGGCCTGTGGCGGGGGGCATCTTGACAGCTGTACTTTTAGATACAGTCCTCCCTCTATTAAAGACCGGCCCACCGGGAATTGTCCCGGTCCTCCCGATTAGCCACTCCGGGCCTGTATGTCAATGTTGTTCGCTGTCCCTGGGTAGCTTAAAGAATCAGTTAGTCCAAGTTTAAGTTTTTTGTGGTGAATATGGGGCTCAGTGTTGTTAATCTTGTCTACTGTATTTTTTAGATTTCTCTTTAACGTCCACATTTTCTTCTCCTCTCAGCTCTTATGTACAGTGGTGGTTGACATCTCAGCTCGGGATCTGACCACAACCAGCCCAGGTGACCAGTCTCTCCTCTCCCCCCGCCACTATCAATACACCGACCCCAACTCAGGCACCCAGCTGGTCTGTGACAAGTGCCCAGCAGGCACCTACGTCTCCGTACACTGCTCTCCAACAGCTGTGAGGGAGTGCAGCCGCTGCCCTGAAGACACCTTCACACGGGGTGAGAATGGCATGATTAAATGCCATCCCTGTCGGGCTCTGTGTCCTGCAGGCTTCATCGAGAAGGCAACTTGCACGCCCATCCAGGACCGAGTCTGCACATGTCCCTCCAACAGCTTTTTGTCTGGGGATGGTGTTACAGAGTGTAAGCCGCACTCGCTGTGCCCTCCAGGGACCAGGGTGAAAAAGCGGGGTGGTGAAACAGAGGATGTGCTCTGTAAGCCGTGCACCAAGGGGACTTTCTCAGATAGGGAGTCCAGAGCGGTGAAGTGCCGAATCCACACAGACTGCCAAGCGCAGGGGCTGGTGTTGCTCACACCAGGGACTAAAGAGACGGATAATGTCTGTGGACCACCTTCCACAGCCCTGTCTTCATCTTTTTCTGTCTCCACAACAACCACAGGGCCTGCACATGATGTGCTTGTACAGGAACCCATGACTTCTTCATGCTCGCCATCAACATCACAGACTAGACCTGCACATAAAGGTGAGAGACACTGTTTATTCTTTGCTAGTTTTTTTGTCGTCAATTTTGACATTCATTCAGTATGTTAATTACTGTCAACATTTGTTTCATATGGCTTGTATCACCCAATAATAAAGTAATTTCCTGCAAGTGTAATATTGTAGGAAAGCATCTCTTTCAGTGATTAAAAATGTAAGAAAACCAGATAATGCAATACCTTCACCAATGAATGTCCTGAATAATATTGTAGTAAAATTACAAAAAACCATAAACATAAGTGAAATTACACATCTAACCCCATAACCCAGAATACATATTAAAGCTGTACTGGTGAAATGACAGGTTGCTGTTAATAGATTTCTAGTTGTATAAATGTATTTTATTAGAGCATGTAAAGAAATAAATAGAGCAATGTGCAATGTGTTGATGTATAGTGCTGCGGCTGCATATTGCACTTTTTGCATTTATTTATGTTTCTATGTTATTTTCTGTTGTTACAAGTAGTCTGTATAATTGTAATCGTGTCTAAGTTTAGTCGGTTTAGATGATTGTATGCCCCTACACCATGCCGGGAGACAACGTGGACGCCAGAGATAACGAATGCCAGCTAGCATTCAGTAGCTGCCCGATTGCTGCACGGTGGCAGTGCACTGGTCTGGTGAAGAAGACCAGTGCCTAAGGGGCAGCAACAGAGAGGCCTGAGCCGAGCAGTTGGCCAGTCAGCTGGAGAAGGTAGCCCCTTTACGCGGGGGTGGTGGTGTGCCGCCACAGGAGGAGCAGGACATCCAGTGGGTAGGCGCCGATGGCCACAGCCTAGCAGCTGGACTCCATGGGGAGAAGACAGCCCCTGACCACGGTGGTGGAGGAGTACCGCCACGGGTGGAGCAGTGACATCCAGCGGGTAGGCGCCGATGGCCGTAGCCTAGCCGCTGGATCTTCAACCGAACAGCTGGGCAGCTTGTCACCACAATGACTGCACGACTAACGAAGACTGCACAACTAACAAAGCTAACAAACGACCTAACGAAACTCCTGGTCTGCGGCAGTGGAGGTGGGGCGTTCGAGGAGAATACAGCATCCAGCGGGTGGGTGCCGAGGGCAGTAGCCCAGCAGCTGGACATCGCAGCGACAGCTTTAAGGTCAGTAACGATGCAGCCATGACGGCGCTCCAGACCCTGCTGATCCTTCTTCTGGTGTTGGGTGAACTTTCGGGGATGATCCTATCCCCTTCATCTCCACAGGTGGAATGTCACCTTGTGTACTCTAGGGAGGCGCTGCTTGCTCTTGTGGGACAAAAGCAAAGCATCCCCAGACCATCTGCCAGAGTACGTAAGAGCGAAGCCAGCTGCGAAATCACAGCGGAGAAAGAGGGGCAGGAGAGGGGGCATCAGACAGCGGCTCTGCAGGCGCACTAACAGACCACCGCTGCCCTCCATTATATTAAGCAATGTAAGGTCGTTGCGCTGTAAAATGGACGAGCTCCGGGTAAACAGAAGATTTTGCCATCAATATAGAGAATCAAGCACATCCCGGACTCCCCGTTGTCGTCGTCTCCTGTGTCTTCTTTGTATGTGATGGTTGTATCTGCTATGCAGCTATGTCGTACCATGTGCCTCAACAAATTTCCCGCTTGGGACAATAAAGTTTATCTTATCTTATCCAAATACACATATATGCAGTTGTCATGTAATATGCTCCTTTTCAATTTTTCCTGAACATGTATTGAACAGTAATAAGAAAACATATATACAGTACAGGCCAAAAGTTTGGACACACCTTCTCATTTAATGCGTTTTCTTTATTTTCATGACTATTTACATTGTAGATTCTCACTGAAGGCATCAAAACTATGAATGAACACATGTGGAGTTATGTACTTAACAAAAAAAGGTGAAATAACTGAAAACATGTTTTATATTCTAGTTTCTTCAAAATAGCCACCCTTTGCTCTGATTACTGCTTTGCACACTCTTGGCATTCTCTCCATGAGCTTCAAGAGGTAGTCACCTGAAATGGTTTTCCAACAGTCTTGAAGGAGTTCCCAGAGGTGTTTAGCACTTGTTGGCCCCTTTGCCTTCACTCTGCGGTCCAGCTCACCCCAAACCATCTCGATTGGGTTCAGGTCCGGTGACTGTGGAGGCCAGGTCATCTGCCGCAGCACTCCATCACTCTCCTTCTTGGTCAAATAGCCCTTACACAGCCTGGAGGTGTGTTTGGGGTCATTGTCCTGTTGAAAAATAAATGATCGTCCAACTAAACGCAAACCGGATGGGATGGCATGTCGCTGCAGGATGCTGTGGTAGCCATGCTGGTTCAGTGTGCCTTCAATTTTGAATAAATCCCCAACAGTGTCACCAGCAAAACACCCCCACACCATCACACCTCCTCCTCCATGCTTCACAGTGGGAACCAGGCATGTGGAATCCATCCGTTCACCTTTTCTGCGTCTCACAAAGACACGGCGGTTGGAACCAAAGATCTCAAATTTGGACTCATCAGACCAAAGCACAGATTTCCACTGGTCTAATGTCCATTCCTTGTGTTTCTTGGCCCAAACAAATCTCTTCTGCTTGTTGCCTCTCCTTAGCAGTGGTTTCCTAGCAGCTATTTGACCATGAAGGCCTGATTGGCGCAGTCTCCTCTTAACAGTTGTTCTAGAGATGGGTCTGCTGCTAGAACTCTGTGTGGCATTCATCTGGTCTCTGATCTGAGCTGCTGTTAACTTGCGATTTCTGAGGCTGGTGACTCGGATGAACTTATCCTCAGAAGCAGAGGTGACTCTTGGTCTTCCTTTCCTGGGTCGGTCCTCATGTGTGCCAGTTTCGTTGTAGCGCTTGATGGTTTTTGCGACTCCACTTGGGGACACATTTAAAGTTTTTGCAATTTTCCGGACTGACTGACCTTCATTTCTTAAAGTAATGATGGCCACTCGTTTTTCTTTAGTTAGCTGATTGGTTCTTGCCATAATATGAATTTTAACAGTTGTCCAATAGGGCTGTCGGCTGTGTATTAACCTGACTTCTGCACAACACAACTGATGGTCCCAACCCCATTGATAAAGCAAGAAATTCCACTAATTAACCCTGATAAGGCACACCTGTGAAGTGGAAACCATTTCAGGTGACTACCTCTTGAAGCTCATGGAGAGAATGCCAAGAGTGTGCAAAGCAGTAATCAGAGCAAAGGGTGGCTATTTTGAAGAAACTAGAATATAAAACATGTTTTCAGTTATTTCACCTTTTTTTGTTAAGTACATAACTCCACGTGTTCATTCATAGTTTTGATGCCTTCAGTGAGAATCTACAATGCAAATAGTCATGAAAATAAAGAAAACGCATTGAATGAGAAGGTGTGTCCAAACTTTTGGCCTGTACTGTATGTATGTATGTATATATAAACAGGGACAACCCCCATCCCACCAGCCCTACCCTTCCATCATAATGTTGATTTTAGGTGACAGAGATCAGATACTGAGTGAGAGGTGCCCAAACCTTATCAAAATATGTAAATTTGTCCATAAGAGTGTATCTTATGAAATGTGTTTGTAAGGTCGCTAAGCCACATCTTTGCTGTGGGGACTTCTTTCTTTTTCCGGTGCATAAGGAACAGTTTCTTTGCAATAATGAGACTACAGGATAGGAAACATTGCTGCATGTTCCTTAATTTCCTGACATCATCAGACATTCCTAGAATAATAATGAGGGGTTCAGGTTTTAGCTGGATTTGAAGTATTCTAGATATTAGTTTGAAAATGGTGATCCAGTAGGTCTTAACTTTGGGACACAGAGCAAAACTGTGGAGTAGAGTATCATTTGTTAAAAGGTATCTATCACAAGTAGGAGGAATTTTGGGGTATATTCTGTGTAATTTCTCCTTGAATGAAGATGGTGTAGAATTTTAAATTGAATTGAACAGTGCCGTGCATTGTTAGAACAGTGATGGATGTGCTCTCGACTCTTCTTCCACAAGATGTCCGAGATCTCATCCTTTAAGTCTTCCTCCCCAGTTTTTACTACATTATGATCAACCGGGCTGACCGATTGTAAGGTGTCATACATATAAGATATTAATTTTCCTGAGTCTAATGTGGATTGAAGGCATCTGTCAAGACTGGAGCCTCTAAAAGTCTCAGAATTTTGTAGGTATTTCCTAACATAGTCTCTTATTTGCAAGTATCTGAAGAAGTGACTTCCTGGTAGTTTATCTTTACTCTGTTTGAGCAAAAGAAGTAAAGGTGCGCTCAATGTACAAGTCTCCTTTAGTGTGGATTCCTGCCTTTTTCCAGATTGTAAAAGCATTATCTAGATTAACTGGTGCAAAGGTCAGGTTTCCAAGAATGGTTGAAGCGTGGGATATGGGTTCAAGATTAAAATGTGATTTAATTTGTTTCCAGATTCGTACTGTAGCTTGGTGAAATTGCTGTGTCATCTAGCCAATGTCATGATCCTCATATTTGAGGCCCAATCATATGATAGACAATTTGGAGGTGCCAGACCCCCCTCCTTTTTATATTTGCAAAGGTGTTTCTGTGTGTTTTGTAGTTCCATAAAAAAGGGACCACAATTGAGTCTAAATGTTTGAAGAAGGATTTAGCGAGAAACACAGGTATATTCTGAAATAAGTACAGTAATTGAGGCAGAAAGGCCATTTTAATGGTGTTAATTCTGCCAAGTAATGATATTGGAAGGGCCTTACAGAACTGTATTTTTGACTGTAATTTAGAAAGCAGAGGAGGACTGTTTGCCTTGAATAAAGATTTCTGCTATTTTGTTATCTGAATTCCTAGAAATATGAAAATTTCAGAATTTTCAGTATTGTAACCATGAATTAAGGGATCTGAGAGGATACTCTCAGCAAGAGGCTCAATTGCTAGGGCAAAAATCAAGGATGATAAAGGGCATCCTTGTCTTGCTCCTCTGTGTAAATTGAAGCAGGGGGACAGAGTTTGATTTAAGGATTTGTGCACAGGGGTTGTTGTAGAGAAGCTTGACCACTGAAATGAATTTTTCTCCAAATTTGAA